TTCGCTGCTTACTTATTCCGTTAGAAATACTGTGACCTTACCCGTTCGAACATTCCCTTGATCTAAGACCGAGTCTTACGAAATCCTGGGAATCTAGAACGGTGTATACTGTCTGTGACCCTAGGACTACTTTGTGTGGTTTTATTGTGGTTTGTGCATTTTTGACTGTTGTGTAAAGATGACAACTCACAGTTTTGATTTGGAAATTTTTAATGAAAAGGGTGACTTTGCTATTTGGCAACAAAAAATGAAGGGTATTTTAGTCCAACAAAAGGTTTCAAAAGCCATTGAAGGCAATTTTTCAATTGATTTTTCACAAGAACAAAGAGAAGAAGCCGATGAGCTTGCTTATACCTCAATTATTTTACACTTGTCTGACGTCATTTTAAGAAAGGTGGGGAAACTGAAAACCACTAAAGAACTTTGGAAGAAATTAGAAGACTTGTATTTGCTTAAGTCTACATCGAATAAACTTTACCTGCTTGAACGTTTTTTCAGTTCTAAATGGATTTTTCAAAGGATCTTGATGACAATCTAGACATATTTAACAAATTGGTGCAAGATATAGTTAATTGTGATGAGATTGTGTCCGAAACTTATAAGGCTATAATTTTGCTCAATGCAATTCCTAATTCCTATAAGAAAGTTAAGAACGCCATTAAGTATGGTAGAGACACGTTAACACCTAAAATTGTTATAGATTCCCTTGGAAGTAAAGAAATGAAATTAGGGCTGAAAAACATGATAAGAGGAACCGTGAGGTACATATGATACGGGTTAGAACTCAATTTAGGCAAAATAGTCATGAGGGATATCAAACTAGTGGCGAGTCAAGTGGTAATGGATGGAAAAAGAAGAGTGAAGGTGGGTCTAGATCAAAATCTAGGACTAAGGCCAGAAAATGCTATGGTTGTGGAAACACAGGGCATTTTATAAAAGATTGTCATAAGGAGAAGGGTAAGCTAAAGGTTAAAGAGAGAGATGAGGTAAATGTGTTAGCATCTACTTCCGATATAAATGGTGGTGAGGTCTTTATGATTACAAGTTCAGTTGCATACACTACTGAATTAAATCTAACTGCTAATTCCCGCATGCATGAGTGGATACTTGACTCTGGTGCATCTTTTCATGGGACGTTTGAAAAGAATTGGTTTTATAAGTTGCATGAATCTAATGTTGGGTATGTTGTACTGTGTGATAACTTTGCCTATACTATTGCTGGAATTGGTGACATAAACATAAAGTTTGACACAGGTTTTGTGTATACGTTAAAGGACGTTAGATATATTCCTGAGTTGTCTAGGAATCTGATTTCAGTAGGGAGACTTGAGAAGGATGACTTTACTGGTAAAATTGGAAATGGTATGCTAAAAATGATCAAGGGTGCTTTAGTTTTCATTAAGGGAATTAAGAAAAATGATATAAAGATACTACTACTGGGGAAGTGATTAGAGGTGTGAATTCCTCTATCTCCTCTGCCAAGATTGATCACACATACACATGGCATAATAGACTTGCTCACGTAGGGGTCAAGAGACTTAAGCTACTTAATGAAAAGGGTGCCTTTGGTAATGACTGTGTGTCAGATTTGCCATTTTGTGATCATTGTGTGCTTGGTAAGCATCATAAAACTTCTTTCTCCACGAGTGTTAATAGAGCTAAAGGCATGCTCGAATATGTGCACTTTGATCTATGGGGTCTGCTAGTAATCCCACATCGGGTGGAAATAGGTTTTTTCTATCTATTATTGATGACTACACTAGGAAAGCGTGGGTCTATCTTTTGAAGGATAAATCAGAGACCTTCAATAGTTTTAATAATTGGAAGAGACAAGTGGAAAACCAAACTGGCAAGAAAATTAAATTTTTAAGGACAGATAACAGCCTAGAATTCTGCAATAAAGAATTTGATAGTATATATAAAGAAAGAGGCATAACTAGACATAAGACCGTTCTCTACACTCCTTAGCAAAATGGGGTAGTAGAAAGGATGAATAGGACTATACTTGATAAAGTACGTTGCATGATGATTAGTTCTGGTGTTCCCAAGTCATTTTGGGGTGAGGCTATTATGACCGCTTGCTATTTGATTAATCTGACTCCTTCTGCTGCATTGAATGGTGACACTCTGCATGAGAGATGGTCGGGTAAACTGAGTGATTACTCGATACTTAGAACTTTTGTCTGTACAACTTTTTCTCATCAAAGTGAGGGTAAGATGGAACCTAGAGCTAGGAAGTGTGTCTTCCTAGGATACCTCGAGGGTGTTAAGGGTTATATGTTATGGGATAGAAGCCAAAAAGGGGTTAAAATCATCATAAGTAGAGATATCATGTTTAACAAAAATGAGATGTCGTGTATTAAAGGGGAAACTGAACCTGAGAGTGAAGTTGAATCAGGGGAAAAGAGAGACCAGTTTAAGGTGGAGTTAGGAAAACTCAGTCCACCTACCCCTACTGCTTCAAATGAGGTGGAGACTCAAACTCAGGAACCCGAGGTGGAGAATAGTAACGAAATAGTGACAGAAGAGCACTATGAGGAAGAAAATCCATTAGCTAACTATAACTTAGTTAGGGATAGAGAGAGGAGACAGACGAGAGAACTAAGAAGGTTCGGTTTTGAATCTGAATTAGCTTTCGCCCAGGCTAGTTATGAAGAACTAGCTGATAAAGAGCCAAAGACCTTTGAAGAAGCAATAGCTAGTGATCAATCTAATGAATGACTTAAGGCAATGAAAGAAGAGATGAGTTCTCTAGAAAAGAATCATACTTGGGAGCTAGTACCTAAGCCTAAGAACAAATCAATTGTTGATTGCAAATGGGTTTTTAAGGTTGAGAAAGGAGCTAGCAGCTTGGAACCCCTAAGGTTTAAAGCTAGGTTAGTGGCTAAAGGCTACACACAGAAGGAGGGCGTTGATTATAATGAAATTTTCTCACCAGTTGTTAAGTACACCACTATTAGGGTCATGCTTGCATTGGTTGCACATTTTGACTGGGAACTTGAACAACTTGACGTAAAAACTGCTTTCTTACATGGTGATCTTGATAAACAAATTTTCATGAATGAACCAAAAGATTTTAAGGATAAGTCAAAACCTGATTATGTGTGTTTTCTGAGAAGATCCTTGTATGGGTTAAAACAATCTCCTAGACAGTGGTACAAGAGGTTTGATTCCTTTGTACTCACTATAGGGTTCCAAAGAAGTAAATTTGATCACTGCCTGTATTTTCAACACAATGAGACTGATGATAATTATTTGTTTTTGTTGCTCTATGTGGATGACATGCTTTTGATTGGATCATCCTCTAAGTGGATAAATAACATAAAAGCAAAACTAAGTGGTGAATTTGACATGAAAGATCTAGGTAAGGCTAAGAGAATCTTAGGTATTGAAATCGAAAGAGATAGGTCAAACTCTGTTTTGTTTTTGCATCAGTCTCCATACATATCCAAAGTATTGAAGAAATTTAATATGAGTGATTGCGAACCTATCATGTTTCCTCTAGCTAATCATTTTGTTTTATCGAAGGAACAATCTCCTTACAATGAGCGTGAAGTTGAATACATGAGTAGAGTGCCTTACTCTAATGTGATTGGTTCCATAATGTATTTGATGGTTTGCACTAGACCTGATTTAGGTTTTGATGTTAGTACTCTCAGTAGATATATGGTGAATCCGAGCCCTGAACATTGGGAAGCGCTAAAGTGGCTGTTAAAGTACTTGAAGGGTACAAGTAACGTGGGTTTAAAGTTTAGTGCTAATAAAGAAGACATAAAATTAAAGGGTTTTGTAGATGCAGACTACGCGGGAGATAGGGATGGTAGGAAATATACTTCATCTTACGTGTTTACCTTATCTAAGTCATGTGTTAGTTGAAAATCACAGTTACAACATATTGTTGCACTATCCACTACAGAATCAGAATATATTACTACCATTGAAGCTATTAAAGAAGCTCTATGGCTTAGAGGTCTGCTTCATGAACTATGTGTATTGAATGATTATGTGGTAGTGTATTCTGATAATCAGTCATCTATACATTTATGCAAGAACCCTATTTTTCACGAGCGCACTAAACACATTGATGTTAGACTCCACTTCATTAGAGATATAGTATCTCAAGAGGTGGTAAGACTTGAGAAAGTCCACACCCACTACAACCCCTCTGATATGGGGACAAAGGTATTGCCACTGGCAAAGCTTAGAAGTTGCAAGGAACTTCTAAACATTGGTACAGGTAAATGATTTCTAATTTTATTGGTTTTCTATTAGAGGTGTCACTAATGGAAGACAATTTTCTTTTGCAGGTCCTTTGACACCAAGGTGGAGGTTGTTAGGCAATTTGTTGTCAAACGACCTCCCTGTGCTATGATGTAAACTCGATTTTATTATCAATTGGCCTTGGCCATATGATTGACTAGTAAATCGACACAATTATCGAGACAACACTATCCACATTCGTATGGATCATTCGAAGCAACGTGTTGCTCGCGGTACGCCCCATTTCCTTGGAAGGCTATATTATTAATTTGAAGCGCATTAATATTGAGTCGATCTTTGTTTGGTCCACAAATTAAACCTAACCTGACTTACCTATTTTGGATATTTACTTGGCTTATATTCCCGTCTCTCTCTCGGCCTCCATATGCGTGTGCCTAATTTCTCTCTTTGTGAGACTTTCCTCTTGGTTTCTTTCATCACTTCACTGTGACCTTTGTGGTTAATCCTTAGTGGGCATATCATTGGACTTCATCTTCCCAGCCTATAGCAGTCGGAAGTGGGGCGGCCTTGGTGGTGGTTTTGGAGTTGTCTCAACCTTGGTGGTGTCGATGAAATAGGTGAAACTGAGCCCGGTTTGAACTTGGTGTTTGCTGGAAATCATCCCTGCAGTTCTTAAAAGACATGGCATGCAAGATTGTAAACCAGGTGACACCCCTGTGGCTAAAGGAGACAAGTTCAGTTTAAGTCAGTTGCCTAAAAATGACTTGGAAATTAAAGAAATGCAGAAAATTCCTTATTCATCAGCTATAGGGAGTCTGATGTATGCTAAGGTTTGTACGCATCTAGATATAGCGTCCATTGTTGGGATGCTAGGGAGATATTTAAGTAACCCGAGAAAGGATCATTGGAAAGCAACCAAATAGGTCATGCGATATTTACAGAGAACAAAAGACTACATGCTCCCATACAGGAGATCGGATCAGTTGGAGATCATCGGTTATTCTGATTCCGATTTCGTAGGATGCCAAGATAGTAGGAGATCCACTTCAGGCTATGTTTACCTGCTTGCTGGAGTTCTATTTCCTGGAAGAGTGCTAAGCAGACACTCATAGCTACTTCCACCATGGCAGCGGAGTTTATAGCGTGTTATGAGGCATCAAATCATGGAACATGACTGCGTAATTTTGTCACTGGGCTACACATTGTGGACAATATAAAAAGACCACTTAAGATATTTTGTGACAATAAATCAGCAGTGCTGTATTCCAATAACAACAGGAGTTCGACAAAGTCAAAACATATAGAGATCAAGTTCCTGGCTGTTAAATAAAGAGTTCAAAGTGGACAGGTGTCAATAGAGCATATTGGGACAAACTCCATGGCTACGGATCCGCTTACTAAGGGATTGATACCCAAGGTCTTTCATGAGCACACTGTTCATATGGGTATAGTATCTCTTGAGGATATCTAGTTTCAGTGGGAGTTTGTATTTTTGCTTTTCATATTGGACACATGTACTGTTATTTTGGATACGGTTTAATGTTAAAGTTATTTTCAGTTATAAAGTTATTTGGTTTATTATCTCTAAACTTGTTTAAAATGATCTCACTAAGACATTAAGGTAGACCAGTTGGAAATAGACATGTTACAGATCACATCACATGTAATTTCCATGTTACACATCTATGCTTGATCCATGTCATTCGGTTATATCGATATACGTGACCATTGATGGGTTTAGCTACAATGAAGGTAGCGAAAGACGCTTTGATCCTATGTTGATATGATTGATGGACGAGAGATAGCAAAATTCTGAGTACTCATAAAGTTATGTTTAATGCATAATTATAAGGTGACACATATAGCCCAAGTGAGAGATTGTAATGATCTTTAATCCATCGATGGGCTTATATGTGTGAATAATTGTGTGTTAAATTAAAGACTATCGAATTCGATTGAGCCCAATTAAAGTGATCTAATAAGGATTCAGTTTTGGGCTTTAATGTATCCAATTAAAGTGTGATTTTACATATGTGTAGAAATTGGGCCCAAGTCCTAATTCTATGATGGGCCGAATTAGGTCAGAGGGAGTTGCTATATAAATACGGTTATGGTCCCCAAATCACACATACGTATTATTCATTCTCTTCTGCATCCCGTCACAGAGAGAAAAAAGGAGTCTGCATGTAGATTTGGAAGACTATACTGCGTAATTTATTATTACATTAACCATATCTGATTCAGGTACGCCTTCGCCATATTTATGTATTTCATGGTGATTTAACATGAAAGATCCAATGATTTAAAGCAATAAATTATACTACAGTTAACCCCTTACATTCTCTATCCAATAAAATTTATTCATATAGATAGAAACACCTAATACACGGATGGGTACAATGGTTTATAAGAAGACACCAAAACCTGAGCCAAACACACGGGATAGCAACTGGAATCAGGCTGATTGGCAGCTCAGATGCGCTGCACTAGGCTGCGTTCCATCCTTTTTTTTTTTGTTGTGAATTGCCCGAAAGATTATTACAATAATGAAATTATGTAGAACAAAAACAAGAAAACAAAGATTTACTTGAAAACCCAAGACGAGAAAAAACCATGGGCAGAGAAGAAAAAATCACTATAATTAATAGGATTTGTGTTTACAAGATCCCATTGCTCTCAACTAAGATCTAAAACTCTCAAAACTTTGTAAGTTATGTTATATGAATAATACATGTCTTTTCATACATATATAGAGAAAAACTAAGTTGTAGATGAATAGGAGTTCAAAACGCTTTAAAGCACGAAAACTCGGGAAACACTTAAACGAGCAACAATATATCGCTTGAGCGAATAGTAGGCGATAGGCTGGCAAACATTCTATTGAACAATTTGATGGTATCGCTCGAGCGTTCAGACAATTAGAGACAAAAACCAATTGAGCCCAATTGAAAGGGCAGCTTTGATGGGAAAGAAAAAAATGGTTCAATATCTTTACGACATTACACCTCTTAATAAAGATTTCAAGGCCAAGGAGCGCATGGACATTCTTATTGCGTTGATCGATAGTGACATGTATGGTATGGAATCTCTGTTCATGACTATGGGCAAGATGACGATGAAAATTATGTTTGCAATAGTTTCAATATTGCTTTTCTTATATGCAGATATTGCATTAAAAATATTGGAAGCAGATAGATATATAGTCAGAAGAACTCCAAAATCGACGAAAGGAAGTGCCTTACATGCGTTAGCTCGAAAACCTTTATCACACTATGCTACAAGTCGAGAATGGTCATGCGAAAGACTTGTTAGAATCGTCAACCTTTATGTATCTACACCTTTCAACTCATCTATGTACTTCCTAGTGTTTCTCTTTTGTTTTATTGTCTTTTGATGATTAATTAAGCTGGTTATACAATCACAAAATTATCAGAATACAGATTATTATATTTTTAAAAATAAGGCCTAGCAAATGCTAGTCTCAAGCTTCAGCATTATATGTGAATGATCCACATATAGATCCATTTCACTTTTTTCTTAGTGTTTTTTTTTGGGTCGGGGGGGGGGGGGCTTGTAGTTAACATGAATTTTAGGAATAATTTATCAATGATTTGTAGGTTTCAAAAGGATATATGGTTCAATTCAGAAGCGGAGACAATCCATTCAATTGGTAGAGAAGCTCTGGGAACAGATTCTGACTTTAGAAGGCTCGAAAATTTCCAACCTATTTAACGAAACTCCTATACTTACTGATGCTGCAAAAATTGGGAATGTTGAGTTTATGGCTCTACTTATTAGCTCATTTCCTGAACTTGTATGGAGAATCGACTCAGCTAAGCACTCCATATTTCATGTTGCTATTATTTACCGACAAGAGAAAGTCTTTAGTCTCATTAACCACACAAAAGCTATTAAAGATTGATTGATTCTCAAAATAGATAAAGAGAAAAACAACATTTTGCACTTGGCTGTGAAATTACCACCTTCGAGCAGACTCAATAGTGTATCTGGAGTAGCACTTCAAATGTAGAGCGAGTTACGGTGGTTTAAGGTGAGAAATTGACATGACTACCAAATCCCTTTTCCTTTTCCCCTTAAAGAGAAGAGGAACACTTCATAGCATGACAGTGAATTGTATCATTAATTTCTTAATTATCTTGAATATATATATGGATATATATCCATGTTCTTAGAAGTCTCCAATCCACCATTCTACGTGATACAAAAACTAATTCCCCATGTTAGAGTTAAAATTTGGATGATTATGCAATTATATTAATTTGAGTAAACTTTAAAGGAGGTGGAGAAGATTCTACGGCCTTTGGATGTTCAGAATAAAAACAAACAGGGCAAAACACCTAGGGAGTTGTTTACGGAGGAGCATAAGAAGTTACTGGAAGCTGGTGAGAAGTGGATTAAGGACACAGCAACTTCTTGCATGGTTGTGGCGACCTTAATTGCCACAGTTGCACTAAATGCATCCTTTACCGTACCAGATGGGAATAAATAAGCTCACAATAGGTGGTTCACAGTTTTTGTTACATCTAATGTAGTTGCAATGTTTAGCTCGGCAGCTTCCATAATGACGTTCTTGTCTATCTTAACTTCACGCTATGAAGAAGATGATTTTCTATATGTATTACCGATAAAGTTGATGGTTGGACTATTTACACTCTTCGCTTCAATCGTTTGCATGGTCTTAAAATTTAGTACAACCTACTTTTTGGCCCACAAGGAAGAAAAGCCACGGATATTGCCTAAAATTGTTGCTGGTCTTGCTTTGCTTCCGATTACTTTATATGTAATGCTAAATTTTAGGTTATGAAATTCCCTAATCCACTCAACAATCCGACTGTCAAGGTTTATGTCTCGACTGGGTAAGCACAAGCTATTCTAATAAAAGGAGTTCCAATACTAGTTGTCGTTACTAATAAAAGTGGAGAAGCTTTATTGTTGTTGTATTTTCCAATAAAAGGCTTCGTTTTTCAAGTGTAAAAGAAGTGGGAAGCTTTCTATTCTTATTAATTCGTCTTTTTTATTCTTCTCTATATATTTATATATAAATGTCACAACTATCATCGCGATCCAAATTAAATCAAGTGGAGTATTCCACGAGAAACATCAGAACTCACATGTATTAAAATGAAAAGACAAAAGAAATCACAAAGGAGTTCATCAGGGTTAACATGGATAGATCCACTATTAATCAAAAAAGTGAAACGATATCAATGCTGGCATGTTGAATTTCAATTGGCACGAAATACTATAGAATTGCTTTGCAATACTAGGGGCACAAGGGAACCGACTGTACATGTTACGCAAAGCCATTAGGCGGTGTGTGGTTAGTCTCATCATATTCAACGCCCCTTGCCACTGTGTGGAATATTTTGGGATTGATTCTTCAACAATTTGTTGAGCATTGATTTCTCATTCATTCCAATGTCAATAGCTATCAGACATTTGCCTGCAAAAGTTATTGCAGGTCCAATGTTGTCTAGTGCTCTACTACCAATAGTAGTAAAGTTAATAAAGACACAATGAGAAATAATTGTTTTTCTCTTCCATACAGTATTATGCCTCATACTACAATACAATTGTGAAGAAAAGGAAATAGTATTCTAACTTAAGAAAATATTTCCTTGGTTGTAATTATACCATATAATAATCCCACAATTGGTTTCGGGATTTCTACACTCTTCCTCAAGTTGGATTGTAGATATTGATCATATTCAACTTGCAGATGAAATCATTGAAAATTTGTCTTTGCAGCCCTTTGGTGAATAAATCTGCAGTTTATTCTTTGGTAGGATCGTAGATCATATAGATACTTCCATTTTCAACTTTCTTCTTGATAAAGTGTTTGTCCACTTCTATGTTTTATCATGTTGAAGGTGTTGAGTGAGATATTGACAGCTACTTTGTTATCGCAATAGAGTTTAATTGGGAATTTTTTTGTAATTTGTAATTCTTCCGCGAGTTTCTTTAACCATAGTCTTTCACATGTTCTTTGAGTAGTTGCTCTGGATTCTGCTTCAACACTGTTTTTGGCTATTACATTCCGTTTCTTACTATTCCAACTAACCAAGTTTTTACATACAAAAGTACAATAACAAGTAGTTGATCTTTTATTGCTCCTTCCCAATCTGCATCAGTGAATATTTCTATCTCCCTTTTTTCATTTTTCTGGAACAGTAGTCCTTTCTGAGGAGAGTCTTTGAGATATCTTAGAATCTTGTTTACTACTTCTAGATGAGCTTTCTTTGGAGAATTCATGTGTTGGCTTACCATACTTACCACAAATTCAATTTCAGGCCTAGTGTATACTAGGTAGATTAGTTTTCCAACTAGTTGTCGATATATATCCTTTTCAACTGATTCTTCAATGTTCTCAAGTATCCATAGGAGTGTTACTTGGTTTGCACCCAAGCATGCCAATTTCAGTTAAGAGGTCCAGAATATATTTTCATTGTTAAATACTAATACCTTCTTTGATCTAGCTGCTTTCATTCCTAGAATATATCACATTTGTCCTAGGTTTTCTTTTTTACTTCAAATTCTGTAGCTAAACCCCTTTATCTCGATTGCATTATCTCCAATGAGGATTATGTTGTCAATGTATATGATCAAGATGATTTTTGTCCCATCTTCAAATACTTTGACGAACATAGTATGATTCGACTGTCCTTGTTGATATCTTTGGTTTTTCAACACATTTGTAAATCTGTCAAACCATGCCCTAGATGATTGTTTGAGATCGTATAGAGATTTTTTTCATTTTGCATACTTTATTTTCTTCATTTTTCTTGGAGAATCCATGTGGTAACATCATGTAGACTTCTTTTTCCAACTCGCCATTCAGGAATGCATAATTCATGTCAAGTTGTTAGAGTGGCCAATCCAAGTTTGTTGTTAGTGATAGGAGAACCCGAACTGTATTCAATTATGTAATCGGTGTGAATGTTTCTTTGTAGTAAATGCCATACGTTTGAGTGCACCCTTTTGCAACCAAGCAAGCTTTGTACCGTTCTACTATTCCGTCTGCTTTATATTTCACATAAAACACCCATTTACACCAACAAGTCTTTTCCTTTTTGGTAGGTTCATCACATCCTAAGTTTCATTTGTCTCCAAGGCTTTCATTTCATCCATAACTGCCTTTCTACACATGGAAATTTCAAGGCTTCTTAAATATTTCTTGGAATTTCTATGTCGTCAAGGTTAGAGACAAAAGTTCAAAATCCTAGAGATAGAGCTTTATAAGAAACAACATTTGAGATAGAGTGAAGAGTGCATGACCTAATTTGTTTTTTGAGAGCAATAGGTAAATCAGTGTCATGTGATTTTGGAGAAAGCTCATCTGGAGCTATCATTGGTTTCAATCTCTTGGTGCTTTGAGTGTGAGTTTGTCCTTATCCTTTGATATTGGCTTTTTTGAGTAAACTATGATCTCTCTGTCATGTTGTTCTTTCTGCTTTCCCCTTGAGTTCAAATTACCTTCCATAGATGGCATAGTGGGGCATAGTAGTGTTGTAGGTTTAGCATTCGAGATAGATTCAAAGGGATGAAGAGAGATTTCCAAGAACCGATCTTCACCTAAGTTCTCTCCCTGAAGAGAGGATTTTTTAAAGTAAATGTTCTTGAAGAATGTGACATCAAGACCGATAAACACCTTTTTTTGTGATTAGATCATAACATTTACACCCGTTTTTGTAGGTGAGTATCCAATGAATACACACTAAGTACATGGGGTTCGAGCTTATTTCTCCGATGGAACTGTATGTGGATAAAGGCTGTACATCCAAACACTCTTAGATGGAGATTGGAGGTGAGATGGGAGTTAGGGGAGAGAAGGGAGTTTCAAATTTGAGGGTGCGACTAAGCATTCTATTTATGAGTTAGGCTGATGTTAAAATGGCATTGCCCTAAAAATCTTGTTTGTATTACTAGTGAACATTAGGGCACTGGCTACCTCAAGTAGGTCTACTTTTTCATTCAACAACTCCATTTCGTTGGGGTATATCGACGCATGAGCTTTGGAGGATTATTCCATTTTCTTAGGAATAGGTTTTTAGCGTATTGTTGAAATATTCTGTGTCATTATTTGTGCGTATAATTTGTGTTTTTGTCTAGAATTGGATTTGAACCATAGAATGAGAATTTATAAACACAAAATGGACATCAATTTTTTCTTTTAGTATATAGACCAATAGATTCGAGTATGATCGTCGATGAATGTAAGAAACCATTTTTTGTGGGTGCGATTAGGGGTTCGTGATAGTTTCCATAAATCACTGTAGATGAAAGTAAATGTTTAGATGGTTTGTACATAGATTTTGGAAATGAAGAGTGATGATGTTTTACGAGTTCGCAAATTTCACAATTAAAATCAAAAGGTATTTTATTCGAAATTATTGAAGGAAATACATTCTTTAGATACTGAAAATTTGGATGATCCATTATATAATGCCATAAAAGAATTTACTATTCTTAGAAATAAAGGTAGAATCACAACTAACAAATCGAGTTTCTTTACTCACATCAGTCTTGTCAAAGTACTACAGTCCCTCACACTCTTCAGCACAGCCAATCATTTTACTCGATGATAGGTCCTGAAAAATACAGTGAGAGAAAAAAAAGTTAGCGAAGCAAGTTGAACTTTTTGTTAATTGGCCAATGGATAGCAGATTGTAGGATAGATTTAGGACATGTAGAACATGTTCTAGTGTGATTGAATTAGATATTCGAATACTCCATTTTTCAAATATCGGATAGAGAGAGCCATCTTCAAATTCTAACTTTGAGATTACCAGCACAAGGTGAGTATCAAAAGGAATAAATGGTGGGAGTCCGTCATATGATCGAACACACCGGAGTCAATAATCCATAGTACTTTGGAGAGTACGGTAAGCTCTTAAGAAATTACTTCTGCGACCTAAGGTGCCTTACGAGCCAGATGACTGTAGGTTGGAAAACATTTTGTGGAGTTGTTCGAAATTAAACTCGAAGTAGAGATTTGTGTTTCAGTGGAATTGATTGTGGTTTGATAGCCGTGATTTCTGGTGTTCTGTCTTAGTTTCCAATTAGATGGTTTTCTGTGTAAATCTCAACACGTATATTCTTTATGTCTAGGTTTTCGATAGTGATCACACCCATTTGTTTTCTTGAGCCAGATCCAATTTTTGGAGTTCCTCTAAACATCTGGGCTCCCAAATCAGGCCCAATATATTTAGGCCCATCTTCTAAATTTCTTTTAATTTTTATAGCTACCATTCTCGACCTATGTTCAATCGGCCCAGTTGGCCCAATAAAGGTAGAAGAAAGGGCTGACCCATCAACCAAATCTTCAGACCCAGTTTCCTTCTTCAGCATAATCACTCGACGACTCTTCTCTCGCCTTACTTCTACGAAGACGTCGTGTGTGGTAGGGATGGCCGATGGCCAAGTTTTTGGTCTCTCACATCATTTAGTTCCCTGTTCAACCGAACCAAGAATTCATACACTCGTTCAGTC